GATGATATCAGGTGCGAATTGTATACCCAAAGGATTTGTTATGCGGCAGCTAAGTGGCTTACTAAAACGAAAATAAGAATTCCACCAAGAAATTCTCCAAAAAAAAAAAAACAAACTAAAAAGTAACCATCGCATTTTGGGGAACAAATATTCCAACCGCCAGTGTAAGTACATACATATGTATGTGCATGCGTGTGCAAAAAATTTGTTATTCCAAAACACGAAAGATCAACGAGCGGTGCCAATTGCGGTGCCGCCGAGACTACCAGCGATGCTGCGCTCCTTTTTGATTGCTTGAAGCGGCGCGCGCACAATTGCCTTGGCAAAGATCTTCATTTACGCCACACGCACGCACACAATTAAAAAGAGGCGACCGATTGTATGATGCGACTGGCCGTAAAAGGATTGCTATAGCCACCAGCGGACGAATGCGCACCGCCGCCAACAACAACCACAGTTAGATCAAAGACTGCTCAGTGTCCACCTTGGATGAATGCTTGGTTCGCAGCGCGCATCTTATTGCGCCACGCTACACTTTATCCATTTATGGGGCACGCGCTGACTTTGTGCTTGCACGCCACACGCATACACCACCGCAGCTTACTTCTGCGCTACGTTGAGTGCGTACATACAAATATAAGTATATACACTTACATATATTTGGTATACACATGCGTGTTGCAAATTGCGCGCAAAGCGTTTTGCGCAAGGCGCATGCGTGGAGTTAAATGTGTGAAATGCAAGCGGAATTGCCAGCTTTGGTATTCGTTTGATGTTGCTGTTATTGTTGTTTGTTACTATTGCTATTGCTGGTTGGGATGCTTCTTATGCTGACAGTGTCGTGCGCTGTTTTCGCCTTGCCTTTTGGGAACCCAAGTGTTAATTAGTGCCAACAGCTAATTGCTGTGCGCGCTTTCGCATACACTTGCAACAACTCGACAGCAGCACGTGCATAAATACACAATGAAAGAGGTAAATGCATACATATTTAAGTAGTTTTCCAGCTGATTTGCGGTTTGCTGTCAATTCCTTGTATTTAATTGACATGCGAGTGCGCATACAATCGAAAGACTTAAGAAGCGAACTCGTTGCCTAGAAGCGAGCTGCGAATTAATAAATGTCGTATGTGACGATTGGAGCCCTGATTTCCAGAGAGAACTTTTGGGCATTTAATAAGTTGCCCTTGTATCGGGGACCAAACATTCCCTCACAAATTTCGGCGACACTATCCGGGATGCCAATTTCAGTTTCTATTTCTCATGCAATTTTTATATAAAGACGCCAGCCTGTCGACGTGAAAGCTTCAAATACATATGCGCCTGAATCGAGAAATTTTGCGTGAAGGTTTTTCATAAAATCTTATTTTTAAATTTTCTAGTCAGTGAACAACTCACTATTCCGAGCTCTGATTAGGGCCTGGAAGTGATGAAGCTTTGCTGACCACAAGATGAACTCTTCTTTGCCTTTACAGAATTTTAGCGCCATTGAGCTCACAGACTTGTCTGTTCATATAGAAAACGAGGTATTTTCAGGTGCGTCTGGGAGAACTATACGCAGATGTATGCAGATTCTGCACGCTAGTCATTGAGAAGACCTCTTCGCAACTGTAATCTACTTTAAATGGTCTGGCTAAGTGGCTTAGAAGCTGGTTTTATTTATTCCGAAACCGAACTATTTAGTTTAGTTCACGAAACGCTTTAAGAAGAAATTTCCCAAACTCCATCACTTAAGGGTTAAAATTCGAAATTTCCGAAGGTATTGTGGTCTATCACAGAATCCATTGAAGTCCGATTTTTAGTGAAATCTCCGAAAATGCGACCACTGAATCCGAATTGCTACGAACGTGTGTAATCATGTATAAACTACGTTCGCAGTTATTCGGATTAAGTGATAGCATTTTAGAAAATTTCACGAAAAATAGGATTACGATGGATTCGGTGATAGCCCTGATTGAAATTTTGCTACAAAATATTTTTAAAAGAAATAAGTCGGGAAAGAATATAAGGTTCTTCGCATGATGTGTTACGAGTATTAACCAAATGGCTCTCAGATCCGGATCTCCCGAAAAAGCTGTCAAAATGAGGACCACTTAACACTGTCCGAGCGAATGTCTTCAATTCCAAAGAATGTGCTCCAAATTGCACGTGCGAAAAACGTTCTACGGATAAAGCACACCGTTCTTGTCTCCTCCCCCTGATCTTCCCAAACCCAAACTCCTAGCTACAATAATAAAAACTACTACTGTCCTAAAGCCCAATGAGCAACTATACCGGATTGCTGGCTCGGCCTGCCGCACTACAAGGCTTTAATATTATATGTTTGTAAGTATGTAAACATTTATACCAATCGTCACTTAAAAAAATACAAATTTATGCTATTAATTCGACTGTCAACGATTTCTTTCACCTTTTGCAAATATAACTGCGTACAACGTACATGGCGACTTGCATGACACTAAGGTATAGATTTTTGTCTGCATGCTATCGTCGCCTGTAGTCTTACGCACGTTTGTCGCTTAAATCTTTTGTTTGCGGTCATTTTCAAATTTATTGCCCACAAACAGGTGAAATTTTCGCACAAATATGCAATTATATGACCGACAATATGCGAAATTAATGCGCTAAGCCGCTATGCGATATGGCAATAGATATGCCTGGATACATACATACATACAATGCGCATCGCATACATTTGTACTTGTAACATACGCACACACTTCCATATCGCACAAATCAGCA